ATCTGCATTTTGATTCGTACTGGAGGATAGATCTATGGGATATATCTATGGGCCACAGCAACCACAACAGGTGGACTGTGCACTCGTTTGTCACCCTATACTATAAAAAAATTCAATTAGTATAAAGTTCGCACATTATTATTATACCAGATAGTTAACTCATTATAGTTAATTTAATTGTAGCTCAGCTTTCTTACCAGTCGGAATAGAGAAAAAAAAAACAAGTATCAGTGCGTCACTAAACGTAAAAAAAGTAGTATGCTATCTCTGGAGAAATAATAACGTAGAATAAAAATGTCTGCATGCTTACCATATGGACTGGCCCAGATTATGCAGTATGCAGCAGACGACACATTTTGGATTTTGAACATATTAGCCAAGTTACAAGCGTTTTATGAAAAGTGTGTACCGCGTGAAACTATCGACTCGAGATAAGCTTGGTAAAAAAAGGTAAATTACTGTGATTTAAAAAAATATAAATTACAGTTGGTTGTTTTATTTATTAAAACAGGTTGTAACCGTACTATTTATTTATTTATACCACTATGCTACCGTTAGTAGATATAATCGATTACTAACCAACATAGGTTAACAATCGATTACTGCGAAACAATTAAAATATTTATGTGTACTTATCTCAACACTCAGGTTCATAAATAATAAAAAATGTATGTAATAAATTATAATAAATTAATTAGATAATATAAAAATGACACAACGACACTCTTCACTGAAAACTTGTATAATAGAAGATCAAGATCGTTTAGTCGCTGTACTCACAGTATCATAATGCGAGCGAGTGAATAGATTAGAAATAAAATATCGCTCTCAACTCGGAACTCTGCGAGAGCTCGGGTTGTCGCCTGCTCGGTGCGTAAAATACCTACCTCTGTGCATAACGCCGAAATAATCAAATCAAAAAGAAAAAAAAAACTTAAGTAAAAACCTTATTTATGAATCATCTTTCATATACGCTCTGCAACAGCTCGCTCAGTGCCGAACCGTGAGTTTTGTTCGTTGCTTAAGACGAAATAGTATCGTGGTCACGTAGATTTTTAGGGCCGAGACGCGGGCGGGCGATCGGCGTGCGGGGCCCCTAGCGTATCCGGCTAGCTGATAGCAATCACATGAGTAGATGTTCCGTTTATCTACTTATGTTTAGCAACAGCGACGAGTAGGGATGGGCAAGTGAAATCAACCACTCTTTGATATTTTGGTTTAAGCGTATGCAAAGCGTTTAGCAAATGTTTTATGCGTTGTGAGTGAACGATGCATCATTTACATTATGTACAGAAACCATTAAATGGGAAGACATTTGTCTTGATACGACAAAAATCATTGGTATTCTGTTTTAAATCTACCATAAAATATATCGATATATATTCGTATCTATATTTTATCGGTATATTCGCATGATACTCGTAAAGCTCAAAATTGTTTTACTGGACGATAGAATGACGAAAAAAAAACGACAACAGCACATGAATGTTTTATAGCTTTTTTGTTGCCTAATGTTTTGTCGTGTAACATTTTAAAATATAACGAAATTAATACGAATTCAATGCTCCAAGATAAATATTGAATCCAACTCCAAGATAAATATCGCGATTTAAAAAATATCGACGATATATAAATATCAATATTTAAGAAAATATTGTACACACCAAACTGTAAATGATTAACAACTCTAAATAATCGATATCGATTTTTTTATGAATCGAATATTGTACGTTCCCATCTTTTGGTTGGCATGTTTGGTGCAATAAGTCTGACAGCTGTCAAAATGTATTTCTTAGATTTGGTTGACTATAATAGCGCCAAAGCGCCATAGCGCCATGGCGACTACTTAAGACGAGGTCTTAGCACGATTTCATATTCGTTTTTCACCCGCGCGTCCCGCAGTGGGCGGAGCAAAACCGGCAGTCGGAGAGCGCAGCGTGAACACAGTATGCGCAAAGCAAGCAGACAATCACCTCCAAACAAAAACTTTTCCGTGAGGTCTCCAGTTCCCAACACTACTAGGTATTTTAGTAATAATATTTTGAGTACCTACTCACTAATATCAAAACTGTTTACGAGGTCTGTAGTCTGGACATCATACTACATTTGAATTATCAATATTTTTTTAAAGTCAGTTTTATGATATGAGCAAGTACTTAGTCAACTATTTACATACATATACATTTAAAACGCCAACTCACAAGTTCTAAAAAAAAACCAAGTTTCGTTTGCAAAATAGCTAAAATAAGAGATAAAGAATAGTTTCAAATAAAACCACTTGAAAATTCAAATTTATTTTACTGTTTTGTATTACCTTACTTCCGGACTTGATGGAGTGACCTGAAGGTGTACTTTTGTAATCGATATTGGAACTGGTCGCCTAGTACTACTAGTTGTGCCGAGTTGACTCGCTTTGTTAGGTACGATGAGTCCTTACCTCCGGACTTGACGGAATGACCTGAAGGTCTACTTTTGTAATCGATATTGGAACTGGTCGCCTAGTACTACTAGGTATGCCGAGTTTGGACTCGCTTTGTTAGGTACGATGAGTCCTTACCTCCGGACTTGACGGAGTGACCTGAAGGTGTACTTTTGTAATCGCTATTGGAACTGGTCGCCTAGTACTACTAGGTATGCCGAGTTTGGGCTCGTTTTGTTAAGTATGATGAGTCCTTACCTCCGGACTTGACGGAGTGACCTGAAGGTGTACTTTTGTAATCGCTATTGGATCTGGTCGCCGAGTACTACTAGGTATGCCGAGTTTGGGCTCGTTTTGTTAAGTATGATAAGTCCTTACCTCCGGACTTGCGGAGTGACCTGAAGGTGTACTTTGGTAATCGCTATTGGATCTGGTCGTCGAGTACTACTAAGTGCGCCGAGTTTGGGCTCGTTTTGTTAGGTATGATAAGTCCTTACCTCCGGACTTGACGGAGTGACCTGAAGGTGTACTTTTGTAATCGATATTGGATCTGGTCGCCTAGTACTACTAGGTGTGCCGAGTTTGGGCTCGTTTTGTTAGGTATGATAAGTCCTTACCTCCGGACTTGACGGAGTGACCTGAAGGTGTACTTTGGTAATCGCTGTTGGAACTGGTCGCCGAGTACTACTAGGTGTGCCGAGTTTGGGCTCGTTTTGTTAGGTATGATAAGTCCTTACCTCCGGACTTGCGGAGTGACCTGAAGGTGTACTTTGGTAATCGCTATTGGAACTGGTCGCCGAGTACTACTAGGTGTGCCGAGTTTGGGCTCGTTTTGTTAGGTATGATAAGTCCTTACCTCCGGACTTGACGGAGTGACCTGAAGGTGTACTTTGGTAATCGCTATTGGAACTGGTCGCCTAGTACTACTAGGTATGCCGAGTTTGGGCTCGTTTTGTTAGGTATGATAAGTCCTTACCTCCGGACTTGACGGAGTGACCCGAAGGTGTACTTTGGTAATCGCTGTTGTAACTGGTCGCCGAGTACACTAGGTGTGCCTAGTTTGAGCTCGTTTTGTTAGGTATGATAAGTCCTTACCTCCGGACTTGACGGAGTGACCTGAAGGTGTACTTTGGTAATCGCTGTTGTAACTGGTCGCCGAGTACACTAGGTGTGCCTAGTTTGAGCTCGTTTTGTTAGGTATGATAAGTCCTTACCTCCGGACTTGACGGAGTGACCTGAAGGTGTACTTTGGTAATCGCTGTTGTAACTGGTCGCCGAGTACACTAGGTGTGCCGAGTTTGAGCTCGTTTTGTTAGGTATGATGAGTTCTTACCTCTAAGTCCACAGCTAACATCTCACTGCCAGTAGAGGGCTCCCAGTGCCAAGCAGTCTCTAGAGTAGGTATTCGTATTTCGTATCTAAGTCTAATTACTCTATGTATCTAAGTATATTTTTGATGTATAAGAAATCAATCGATCTTTCAAATTATCAAAATAATTTTAATTGACTACGATTCCCGCAGCCAACCATGCGTACACTTGTGTGCGTGACCCGTGTTAATGTAATAGTTCGATTCTATACCTATATCAATTTTGTAAACGCGTCCTTAAAAAATCTTAACGTAAATACTGCGGCAAAAAGAGCGACACGTCTCTAGGCCAGGCCAGGCCTCGGCCGGCAGTGACTCTGCACAGGCGTTTACGCAAACATCCGTACGTATTATTTCAGAAATAAGAAAATGCTATTTAAAAAAACTATTAGTTGACTAAAAAATTAAAACACTATAACCTTAATATGTTGAATGTATAAAAATCCGACAAAAAATCAGAATGATTGCATGTATACTAGTATGGTTTTTACTCGTTAAAAGAATTTTTTTTCTGTTGTATTAAAGTAGTGGTATCATTTTTTCAACACACTATCTAACTAGCATATATCCTGGACAATATCATATATTTTTCTGGGTTTCTTTACTGCAGTGGATCATATACTTTGAGGCATTATAAAACTTGCATTTAGCGTCATGCCTCGTCTTAAATAGCACGCGCTATGCGCTATGGAGAGATAGCCGATACAATAATTTGGTGCTATGCGCTATATTAACCACCATTAGGTGACATGCTCCTGTTAGGTCGGCCCGCGCGCAATTTAATCGCACAATATTTATTTGATATTTCTTTTTAAAATGATATATACTATTTTATTGAAAAATAAACCCATAATTCACTAATGTATTTACTGGTGAACACATCGATAGAATTGAATTGAAATTGCTTTAATTACATTCGAATGAAACTGCTTTTTCCCTTAATGGACGTACCAAAAATTGTAGATATTGAGGAAAATTTGCGATCTTTTCTATCGAGTCAAAATGTGTCAATCGTGTTTTTACCACCATAATTCACTAAGAAAAAATCTTTCAATTTCATAATGATTTAAAAAAAAGTGAATTCTTAGTTTTCAATGAAAAAAAAATTGATTTTCTGCGCACCTATAAAGCGTGAAAAATCAGCTTTTGGTGCTCACTTCACCTTTTAGATAAGTTGCATTTACAATTTATTTTATATTTCTCTGTCATTAGGCCCCCAGCTGACGTCAAAATGTAAGGAAGATTCTCAAACAAGTCTTCAACTGATTCCGGAACCGCAAAGTACCTTACAACAGAATGCGTGCACCAGCAGCGTATGTACAATATCAACACAGACAGAAAACATTGAACGACTCAAAAAAGTAAACGTAGACAATCTAATTTTATCAGTCAATTCATTCAATGCATCTGTTACTAATAGATTGGACTCTTTACGCAAAAAGCAAATGAACGTAGAAAGTAGTTATCAATATCAACAAAAACACAAAGAACAAAGGTTAGTCAACAGCACAGATAATATTAATAGCGAACCAACAATCAACCCAGAAGACAAAGATACAATGAAAGAAGACAATCATTCATCTAGTTATTCAGCGGATGAACAACCGTCTTTGTCATCGGACATTCCACAAAAGGAACAGCTAAACGCTGAAAGTTGTCCCCCTAATCAAAAAGACCAAAAGTGCATATCACAAAAACCAAACGTTCTGCAACCAGCCTCTCGTCTAAGAAAAGTTTCGAGAATTGCCAATGCGAGGAAACCCCGCCGTCTTCGGAAAAGGCGTAAGGAACAAATGGAGCTAGAAGAGATGATGCTGTTGGCATTGACCTATATGTAGTACACGGGACAGCGAAAGCGTTTGGCGGCAACTTAAGAAATCCCCAGATGTCCTTCGATAGATACATACATACATAATACATAAACACTCACGCCTGTCACCCAGAGGGGTAGGCAGAGACTACAGACTTCCATTTGGCACGATCCTGACACACCTATTTCACCTCCTTCACATCCATATACCTACGCATACATGCTCGTCGGTTAAGGGTACTCCTAATTTGGCCCGTTTTTAATAAATCGCCAATTTGGTCGATAAATTTTCGCCTAGGACGTCCCTTTCCGACTCTGCCATTCACTTATTCTTCGATAGATACAGTATAACTATATTATTGTTATTACATACAAACCGCATTAGGGCTTTGGCAATTTTTTTGTGGAATAAGGGTGGCGAACGAGCACCCAGTCCACCTGATGATAAGTGGATGCGGTGGTCCATGCATATCAACATCTATCTTAATAAAGAATCAAGAAAAAATTCGGACTATACTTTGTCACCCTTGAGGACTGAGATGGAATGCCTCATTTCCAGTCAAAGGGGTTCTCTACACTCACCACACGGAACACAGCAACATTAAGCTGCTATTTTATGCTGGTGTTGTGTGAGAGCTTAGTTCTTCCCCACTCGAACCGACCCATTCGTACTAAAACTATAACATAGCCGCAGTATTGCCCTTCTATATATAAAATTGCGATGTTTTAAGGTTTGATAAAAAAGATGTTGCCACCCATTGAATTTACTACTACTACTACTAAACACTCGATAATATCGATATCGAGTGCAGTCCACTGCTATAACAGAAATTAGATGGAAAAAATCTTTTTGTGTGTGCTCTTTTGAGAGAGCCTTTGCCTACTCTTCTATAAAAAAAAATATCGTTGCCCCGTGTATGTAAGATTCTAAATAAAAGGAGATTAATAGTGGCCCAGTCACACTCGATGCATTCAACATAAACTTAAATACAATTATTGATATGATATCTCTAGAAGTTTCAAATTCGTTTAAAGAATTGTTATTGTCATCCTTACAACCTGTCAAGTGTCCGCTGAAACTCAGCTTCGTCTATAGATTGCATTACAGGGCTGCCACACGTTGCAACCATGACCGATTCGTGTTTTAGTTTTCCCTTGTTATCTCTTATAACACTCACGGGATGATATTGGGTACCTAGTATGTACATATTGTAGTGTATTGGTGGGCATAAGTTATACAATACTGGTTCTTATCTCCATAGGTCTGCATGACGCAGAATTGATTTTGAATGTAGAGTAAAATTTTGAAGGACGTACGGCGCAGGTAGCGGTCTAATAAGACTTGTCAGATAAATGTGATCAAATCCATAGGCAACGTTCTGCCATTAGACTCAGACAGTTTCTTTTTTATTGAATCGTATCATCGACAAATGGAATCGGCGGACACATATCATTTCATTATCATTTTCTTTCTTTATCTTGCTTGTATTAATTATAAGATAATAAAAGCATATCATAATAAAGGTGTTTTATTTTATTACAAAAATATTTTGTGAAGCGAATTTTGGAGATATTTATCATGCCATCTGTCAGAGCCTGTGTGATTTTTCTGACATATCCCCGAGCCGCCATTTATGGCTTCCAAGATGGACGTTACGGAACGGATGGACGGTACCATGGAGTATAGAGGTAAGGAGGACAATCTCCCATAGGAGAATAGTTGAAAATGTGTCCATCTGTAAGCAGTAAATAACAGTTTAAAAACTCTCCACAACAGCGCTCGAGTAGCAAGAGTAGCAGGGTATGATGAATCGCCGTAAAATGAAATAACAAGAACTAAAAAATATATATTAGAATTTCCAATTATGAATTTAATTAAATAACTATATAAACTTAAGTTAGTTGTATTATTTAATTTATTCGTAACTGGAGGCAAAATCTCACTACTTTTTGTATTTTACGATAGATGGCACTGTCTTGAAAAAGTGAATACAAGAATAATGTAGATTGCCGGCGTAGTTCAATTTATTTCGCAACGGGTAAAACTAATTTTGGGCTTTATTTATAAATATTTTATTTATTTTAATAAAATACATCAATTGTATAAAATAGAAATTAACATCTAAAGGAAGGAAAATACTTAACCCTCCTTTTTTAAACTCCGTAATCGGATAAAAAGTAGCCTATAAGTAGCACTGGGTCCCTAACTACCTACACACAACATTTCATAGAAATCTGTTCAGTAGTGTTTGCGTGAATCTTGAATACACAGTCAGACACAGAGGCAGACAGACAGACAAAAATTATTATAACCACTAATTTGGCTTCAGTGCCATTTATTTAGTCTCCTGGACTTGTTTTTACCAGAAAATATTAGAATTAACTGGGCTTCAAACGCCTGAACCGATTTTGATAAAATATGTCTAAGAACCACCGCTAGCAAACCTGCTTTTAAATAAAAACAAACCGCACCCATATCGGTTCACCCGGTTAAGACCTCCGATGCAACAGACAGACACATATAACGGTCAAGCTTATAACACTTCTCTTTTTCGTCGGGGCACAGAATAAATAATAGTACTACGTACAGAAGTTGCATCCTTTGATGTTGACTGCTTGCCGACGTTTAATAGCCTATATAATAATTGTTAATTAGATAAATCGCGCACGCAAGCTAAATAAAACTTTATCGCTGCGCGCGAGTGTCCATATTAGGTACTTTGCATCTTTTCTCCTTCCTACGTCACAGCAGACTCCGTGGTTACTTAGGGATGTCTATAAAAAGTGAAAAAATACATTGCGAAATGTTAATTAAGTTACTTAGGTAAAGTACCTATACTGATTATGATCGACTGACTCGACACCATATTTTTGTGAGTTCTGCGATACTCAACGCATGCAACTTGCAAGGACATTCGTCGGGAATCGGGATGCTTAGCTTGGAAGCAACATCTTATAAACCTTAAATACGATTCCTAACGGTAATGTGATCGTATTCTACTTAGTTTTAATTTCAGTATTTTGTTATTATAACTTAAAATATTTTAATTATCTACTATCTATCCACGCAACAATGGGTCACACCAACATGAGATAATTTGATAATAAAACCTATATAACTTTAAAGCTATGTTTATGAATGGTCTTTGTTTCATTCAATTGATGCAGAAATACGAAAGATATAACGATTTGAAGTTTTGCTAATTTTTATGGCGGCTCCACATTATCGCCGTGAATTCACGGCACAAGTCGTGCCCTTCACATTCACGGGATGCTCACAATCGTTCGTGAAACCCGCCGCGAAACGGACGTAGAAGCTGCTGCTGCAATAACTTTATTTATTTATTATATATTTTATACGTGGTGGAGCCATGCTGCAGTTATATTAGTAGTATAGTTGTAGCACGAATGGGTCGGCTCGACCGGGGAAGGACCAAGCTCTCAGAGAATACCAGCGTAAAAATAGTAGCTTAATGCGTACGGTGAGTGTAGAGAACCGCAGACCCTTTTTACTGGAAACGAGGTATTTCATCTTAGTCCTCAGGGGTGCATCGCATCTGCATTTTGATTTGTAATCGAGGATAGATGTAGATGTCTATGGGCCGCAGCAACAACTTACTATCAGGTGGACTGTGTGCTAGTTTGTTACTCTGTCCTATACAAAAAAAAAATTGCTGTTTTGAAAAAAAAATCCTATTGAAAAAAAATGTCACATGCGCAATAGACATAACGTCCGATGCGGGAAGGCCATGGGGCCAGAAAACTAGTACTCAGAAGCACTAGTTTCCTGACCCCAGCGGCGAATTTGGTCTATGGCTCCGCTGCCAACCAAGATTCGGCTGCGGAGGGTAGGGAGAGTGGCGCCTCGCAATACCGACACTCCTCTTCCCCCGCAGCCCCACCACCGCATCAATTAATGGTGCGGCCCCGTCAGATTCGCGGAGGATTGCGCGAGTGGCGCGTCGCCATACCAACACTCCTCTCCCTCCGCAACTCCACCTGGACTGCAGCGGTAGGGGGAGAGTACACCCCTCGCCGCAGCCTGCCAACACACATCCGAAGTGGGCTCGCCAAGCTCACTCGGAGTGGCCTCCTCCGGCTAGCACTACATCTCAGGCCAGCCATGGGGGTTCCTCTTTGTTCACCGCGGGTGACCAAGCCACGACTACTAAGCCCCCCCCCCCCCCGCCACGATAAGGCGGGAACCCGTTCGGGAGATAAATTGGTACCTAGTGACACATTAAGAAATTTTGTTGGCTAGGTACGTAGTTCGTCAGTGGTTGCAAACATTGGTCCTAGTTTTACTTTGCCTTACTTTTGAATAAACTGCTTGCGGTATTACGTTGGTAGTTGGTACCTATTGTGTTTTGCAATGCAAATGCAGTGGTTGCAAACATTCATACGTGTAATACTAAACTGATTTGGATGAAATTTTGCATAAAGGTATAACACGATCTACAGGATTTTATCATCTCATATTATCGAACTTTTATCCCTAAATTAGATCATGTTCCAAGAGCGTGATATAACAGAAATTCACGCTAGCAGTCTTTGAATAAATTGAGTTTTTGTGCCACGTACGTAATATAAGACCTACAACACTGCTCGACTAGACTTCGGCACGCGGCATTGCCCATGTACATTTTTCTCTGATCTGCTCTTCTTATTGCCTTCAACCACTTTTTTCTTATTTTCTATTCATCCTTTTTCGTGACAAAAAACAGCTTGTCAGGTGTTTTTTCACTTAAATTTGTACACTAGAGATACAACGCAATACTTTCTGATCATGTTTAATGACTAGAAAATGCACGCGCCTCGAAACGAAATGGGATAAGCGGACTGGCGGGAAGGCGACCGACTGAGTGAGCGAGCGTGTCGAATTGTGACGTCACATCGCGGACGCCCGTACCGTAAAACACCACTTTACTCATCAATATCTTATCCATTTTTAAAGGTAGAAAAAAATACTGTTATATTCGTAATTATTTATACAATTTTTGATACCCTTAACAAAATTGGGTGGTCAGACTCATTATAGTAGGAACGACTTTTTGCCTTTACAATTGATCAAATAGGTGATAAAGAAAATTTTTAAATTACATTAAAACTTTCAACTATTATATCCTACAATTAAATATACTAAACACTAAACAAAAACTATTTCTTCAAGTATTTACATAAAACTATTTACGTAAACAGCTTTAAAAAACTTTAACATTCAATCGCCTACAACGCGCTAGCCCCGACTGCGTATGCCCTGAGTGCCTCGCGATTGTACTTTATTATTTCACGCAGGTAGGAAGAGTGACAGAGGGCTGGTTGGGGATTAAAAATGAAAATTGGCGGAAATTTAGATAGATAGTTGAGTCCCGAGGACACTCTTCAATAGTTATTTTATACAGATCTACAAAAAATTAAACAATTATTAGGGTGAAGTACATGTTAAAGTTATGAGTACATTTACACAAAATTTTAATTTGTTTCAGCCAAAAAGAGAAAGAAAGAACCCGAGAAAAACAAGATATCCGAGGCCAGTGGTTACGCGCTAATAAGAAAGAACTCTTTGAACCTAATCACCAACTCGACGATATGTGTATTTCAGTGGAATAAAAGTTGGTACCGATGCTTCATTTGCCAAGAAGCGTACCCCGAATTAAATGCACTTAGGCAGCACTCGGAGGAACACACCCTGCAGGAGATAGAGGAGAAGATTATTGCCCAGCAGAATCGTATGGTGAAAGTTGACGTATCCCAAATAATTTGCAAACTATGCAAGAAACAGCTGCAGGATCTACCCGATCTCCGCAAACACCTTACAGAGGCACACAAAATACGATTTGAGATAGAAGATGATCTACTGGTACCCTTCAAGATCGATGCACAAAGTCTCCAATGCCAGCTATGTAGTAAGCCATTTGACTCATTTCGTCTGCTCAACATGCACATGAATAAACACTATCAAAATCACGTGTGTCATATATGCGGCGCCACATTCTCCACTTTGGTGTTCCTTAATCTTCACAAAACCAGATCGCACCGTTCTTGGCTCTGCAAAGAGTGCGATGTCGTTTTCGTCAGCAAAGCGGACAAGAAGAGACACGACGTGTCGGTGCACAAAGTGAAGTTCGAAAGGAAACTGAGATTCCCCTGCCAGCACTGCGGGGAGCGTTTCTTCCAAGAGAACTACCGCGCCCAGCACTTGGTGGAGAAACACGGGATGCAAAAGCCAGAGTACAAATGCGAATTTTGTGGTAAAGTCTTCATCACGCGTAGCCTGTGCAACAACCACGTGAAGAATGTGCACCAGAAGAAGAAGAACCATCAGTGTGACATCTGCCGTCAACTGTTCTACACTAGGTCTGATGTCGCAAGGCATAGGGTTACTCACACGAAGGAGAAGAACTTCTCCTGCGAGTCATGCAACAGTCTCTTTGCCACTAAAGACTCGTTGCGAAGGCACATGAAAAGGACGCACTAGACACAATAAATGTTATGCCTACCCGCTGTTTTGTTTGATTTAATGCGTATTAAACTTGTGTGGGACAAGGTGACATTATATCCCTGCGCCTCCCCCCCCCCACATAGCTCGAAGAAACGACAGTGGTAGTGCTGCTGTATTTCGTATGGTGAGTGTAAAGAACCGGAGACCCTTTTTACTAGAAACAAGGCATTCCATCGTAGTCCTCAGGGGTGACAACGCATCTGCATTTCCCTTTTTAATTGAAGATAAATGTGGATTTCTACTGGCCACAGCATCCCCTCGTTTGTCAGAGTCACGTAAAGAAATAGATTTATTGTGAAAAATAATTTGAAATGGATAAAAAAATTGATACGATATTTTTTTAACTTATATGTGATTTATTTATTTAAAAACTTAAATGTAACACCTTAAAGTAAAGGGTATATAAGGTGGCCCTAATGCCATAAGTCATTCTCTGCCAGTCAACCCAGGGTGTCTAAAGACAAATTTTGGCGGGTGCAAAATATAATACTTATATAAAGTGTATAAGTGTAATATACATAAGCATAATATATGATATCAATATTCGCAATGTTTTTTTTTTTAATTAAAGATTAAAACCTACAGACACAATAGGGATTTCACTGTTATAAAGTCAAATAAACAGTATTGGAGCCACTAAAATATGTTAAGAGGATTGTAAAGCTGTAAATTTTCATACAAAATGCGGTACCCCCCCCCCCTTGCCATAAACAGTAGTTTTTAAAAGTTTTGGAAATTTTGTAGATATAATGAAAAACTAAGTAGTTTCGTATGATATAAGTTATTAGCATCTAAATATCTACATTTTTACATCATAAGTTTCTCGAAAGTTTTTTTTTAAATTAAACTAAGTTGAATTTCTAACATATAAATGTTCAGACCTAGATTAAGGGGTATTGAATCTAATGAGACCAAAATTGTCTCATTTCATAAAGGTTTAGGGGGATGAAATCGTTATCGCCCGAAACAATATGTCATAAAGGAAATGTAGACAATTGGCTCCAAGACTCAATTCTATTGCACGATACGGCGATGCATTTTTGAAAATACCTACACGAGTCGCGAATCGGAACTTCACAATCCTCTTAAAAATTGTAACTATTTTACTTCAAATGAAAAAACCAATATTAATTAATGAATGTAACTAGTGCACCATTTGATATAAATACTAGAGTACCAAAAAATCCGGCGCTGCACATCCGTGTTTTTAGGGTGGTAAATAAGCACACGGTCTGTCTTATGTAGGTAAGTAAAATATCGTCTAGTAAGTAAAGTATCCTTTGTACTGTGCAAAAGCCATTTATTTTACTTAGACGCTAGTGATTTACTAAACTGGAAAGTTATTGATTCTTCTATTTATAATTGGTACTAAAGATTTTTTGGGTCCTGAAAATAAAATAAATAAAAAAACGATATGTCCAGAAAATATTATAAAAATAAACAATACGTAGTTAAAACAAAATATTAATAACGTTTACCAATGTTTCACCAAAATACCACACAATTTTTTTTTGTTGACCAATAAGTTGTAAACATTTATTTAAAACTTGCCGCTTAGGCAATTTAGGTGTTGCATTCTTAGTTAAATAGTGTAATCTTACGTTTATATATTTTTCCACTAGCTTTTGCCCGCGACTTCGTACGCGGATCCTGTTGCTTATGCCAGCGACAACGGGGTCATCAAAATCAAATTCAAAGAGCCCGGGGACGGGAAAACAACGTGATTTGCGAGACGATTCCAGACGTTCCAGATCTTTCATTTCTGTAAGCCAACAGGAAATGCCCATCAGACTAAACAACTTTTGCTAAGACGTCATTCCTATATATGTTATAGTGTCGCTGGGCTTTGGAGTTCCACAACAGGTGTTCCAGATCTTCAAATTTATGCTCACAGCAGAAAATACTCTTCACGTGGAATATTTTTTGCTATGGCACCATTTTTATATCTCTTATACTTTAGCTGGTCTGTTGCGGTTCTGCATCAGGTGTTCCATTTTTCAAAATAAATTATAGCCTATATGTTGCCTAGACTTAACACCTATACAACAAAAAACTTTTCATCCCGTATATTTGTTTAAGGTGCACAATTACTAACAACTTATATGGATCTATGTCTGAAATAAAAGATTATTATTATTTCACCGATCCGGTGCCAAAGTATATATACACTACGCGAAAAGAAACGACTCTTAAGCATGTGTGCACGTAAAATCGCTTGCGGCTATATGTAACGCTTGGGTGTCTGGATGTGTGCGGGGGCCTTGAGAGGCGCGCGGGGCGTGTAACGGGCAGTCGCCGACTGCCCTGGCCGAGGGCTAGTAGTAATACCGATATTTGTCAGTATTAGTTATATATAATATTTCAATTATATATGAATATTACCGATATCTTAATGTACATATTACTATTCTATTCATGTAGGTATTAAGTTATGTTACCAAGTAACGTTATTAGTTTTTATAGCCGTGTATGCTAGGTTTATATGCTTTGATAAATATTTTTGTTTTTATTAAATAAATGATATTATAGTATATGTATAAGTATTACTGAAAGTGATTTAAGTGATTACAATTAAAATAAATCCCACTGCACAAAACAAGGGCCCCTGTTTTGTTAGTTTACCAAAATACATAAACACTCACGCCTGTCACCCAGAGGGGTAGGCAGAGACTACGGACTTCCATTTGGCACGATCCTGACACACCTCTTTCGCCTCCTTTACATCCATATATCTACGCATACATACTCGTCGGTTAAGGGTACTCCTAATTTGGCCCGTTTTCAATAAATCGTAATATAAAAATTTTCATAAATTTTCTTTGTCACTCTTTCCTCATTCATTCTTTCCACATGACCAAACCACCGAAGCATTTCTATCTTAATCCTGGTCACCACATCATCTTGCAAACCACACTCTTCTCTTATTACACAATTTCTTACCCTGTCATTCAGATTCAGCCCTAACATACTCCTTAACGACCGCGTTTCTACTGCGTTTATTCTACTCTCGTGCTTCTTCTGCCACACCCAACTTTCACTACCATACGTTAAAGTAGGGACCAACACAGCATTGTGAATTACGTGCCTTTTTCGACACATTTTGACTCTTCACAATAGAGTGCAAGGCCCCATTTACTCTATTTCCCGCATTCACTCGTCGTTCTATATCCTTATCATATCTCCCATCCCTGCTAAATAAGCAGCCCAAATATACAAACTCATCTACTTGCTCGATCAACTCCCCTTCTATTCTTATTTCACAAATCGTTTTACTTTCTTCTCTTTCAAAAACCATAATCTTCGTCTTGCGTTCACTTTCATACCCCTTTCTTTTAATGATCTGTTCATTAATGTAACCATCATTTGCAACTCGGCCGCCGACGACGCAAGAATAACTTGATCTGTCAGTTTAATTTTTAATAATGTTTTATGATACCTAAAAATATGTGAATTCATTTTAATAAAAGTCGATATGATCTTAACAAGAATTATAGGGAAATACCATGGCAATAAAACTAATATATCGCCAATAATTTTATTATATTACATTAACTGAAATATACACTATTAAAAATACCACTAGAGAGTCAAGAAATTTTAGATATCTATAAAGAGTTTTTGTATTTGTTCATTGTTGTATTTAAGTATGTATTATTTCATTAGAAATACAAATGACTTATCTCCTCAACACATAGGGAACAATTTATTGGCCGCTATGTCCCAGGAAACCTGCATACCTTTGGATTTTCTAAAAGAAATATACATGCTACGAATTTTTGCAATTGTTAGAAATAATAATGAAAATTAAAAAAATTATCGAAAAATTCAAAAATATATAAGAGTAAATTATTTTTAAAGGATAGTAGGTAATACTGATTATTGCGTACTGAAATACTAAATGTTGGTTAATTCTTTAAGATTACCATTAACTGTCGTGCATATTTGGTTTTGTCGGAAGTTTTAATATTCCTCATTTAATAAAAGTTGATTTAAAATTGAACGTATCTTTCACTACCTAAATACATAAGTTTACATAATATATAACACATACCTACTATGTATCTTCTTTGGTACAAGTCTATAATATTTCATTTCGGTTCGATATCAACCCTAGCGTTACACGTTTCGACCCAAGGTCACCGGCGATTAAGCTCTCACGTACAGGGTGTGTCACCGCCACAGAGTACTTTCTAATATACTGAAAGTCACCGTTGTGCCGATGCGGAACGCACTACAAAAAAATACTTTATAAACTATAGCTGTACACGTGGCTTTGCCCACGTATCGCATAACTATTTTTTATTCTACTTTTATTTTAATAATAGTTAGTGATAGTTTGTAGATTTACAGAAACACTCAAAAGACGCATCCCATACTTATACTAAAGCCTCAAATACCTACCTCAAAAACTATTTAGCTTAGTAAACTCAAATTTGAAAGTTATGTAGTTAATTTACTGGTAAAAGACGTCAGGTTAATAAGGAAATTTTGGTGACGTCGAATAACAGAAGTGTTGTAATTTACTGTAACACTTCTGTGTAAACAACGTTCGTTGTTTTTCCCTCGGTCTCATTCAATATGTACAGTGAGTCAGGACTGGTGACGCGGGAGCAAGTGACGTACAGTTGTCCGTGTGAAAAGCAGCTCGTCCTGAGGTCGACACCCGCAGCCTTCAGTGTCTGCCCCTGCGACTTATTTATTGTCATGGCGAAGCACACGCTCACAGGAAACGCGCTTGAATTGAAAGGGGTAATTGTGGGGAATCAGTGGTATACGTGGTATAAACACTGTTTCGCCGACACCACAACCCGTTAGAATTTAAGCCTCAATGATATTTCTCTGCAGCGAGACGACTTTGAGCCGGGTCCCATTGCACAGTTTTGGCGGAGTGAGATTCCGAAGAAGCATAATTGGGACACCGACCTTTAGCTTAATGGTGTGCGCTGGCAGTCCACTTGCACTGAGGGAATTGAGAAATTCTACGGGGTAATGTGTAGCGTCATCTTGGTCGACCACAGTGTTTATTGAAGTGTAGATCACTTAATTTCCCTCAATTTCGTCGAGAATGCATTCATTGATCGTAGAAGCTTGGTCATTTTTGGGTGTTAAAATGGCTCGTTAACACACCCAAGAATTATCTTGGTGCGGTATCCTATTGATGTCCCCGTACACCAGGCGAATCAAATCTTCTAAGGTGGACACCACTCTCCCAAGTATCTCAGGTAGAACCACCTGGCCACTGTCTACTGGTAACGTTCCCTCACCCAATTTTAAGAGAACATCAGAAAATTCTTGGGCGTGTACATTCCCGCCAAGCTGTGCTCTCATATTCATCGTTAAGCGCAACCTATGAATATGTGGCCATAAGAAAGAGCATTTCAACGAAGCATTCACCTCATCAGCCCTAGTTCCTCGCGTCACCACAGGCAGCGTTTGTCGGAAATCGCCGCTAAACAGAACTGTAACGCCACCCATCATTTGCTGGTTCCTGCGGATGTCCTGCAAAGTCCTGTTTACCGCCTCTACTGCTTTTCTGTTCGCCATAGTGCATTCATCCCACACGATTAAAGAGCAACCTTTAAGCACGTGCCCTTTGTCACTGTTGCGTGAGACTCCACAAACAGGTGTTTCATTACTCTCTAAATCTATGGGAATGTTAAACATTGCGTGCGGTGTTTTGCCACCAGGAAGCAGTGTTGCGGCGATTCCTGACGATGCTACTGCAATGGCAATCTTGCCTTGCCTCCTGACCTCTGCGAGAATGCCAGCGGTGACAAATGTTTTCCCTGTTCCACCAGGAGCATCCAAGAAAAAAAATTTACCTTGGCCGAGCCCAACGCTTTCAAGGATGGTGTCGAAAATTTGCTTTTGCTCTGAGGTAAACTTACAGACATGGTCATTGACGACGGTACTCATAGCTCTTGGATCATAATTTATTTCAGAGTTGTACTCTCTGTTTCCACGCTCTTGTACATCCAGATGCTGTGGAGACGGTAGCCCATAATCCACCAGAGAACTGCCGCCGATCGAAATGACCATGTCTTGAAGTGAACTAAGGCAACTGTTTAGAACGTGCTCATCAGTGGCCTCAGTATTATCTCCAGTAGTGCATCTCGGAGCTCTTAGGAAGTCTTCGGACAGAAGATGCCGATATTTCTCCCACAACAGAAGCGGATTTGCAATACCGCAGAACACCAACATGACGGCAAACAGATGTCGCAAACGACTGGGACTGTCACTAATGCTGGCCTCCTCAAGTGCGTTGTCCCAGTGCTGATCACCGTCGAGAAGGTGGCGTGCTACGCAAGCAGCGCGGTATGTGGGATACTGAATGTCATCGACTGTCCTTAGAAACGCAAATGATGTTGGGCCCCGCACTGTGTGCAGTAACATTCGCAAATAATAGCACTCGCCATTATTTGGGTGCACAGTGTAAACCCGTCCCAATGCGGTTGTGGCGTCATTAATCTGAGAAATAAAAATAAACAATTAAAATAAAATACAAATATAAATAAGTAATCTAAAACTTACCTTGAAGTCGTGTCGTATCGTCGCAGAAATCGTGATCAAGTCGTTGAGTAGTAAAGACGCCCCGATAATGCATCGAGCAAAAGATTGAGGACATCGAAGCGGCGCACCCGCCACGCAGTTAGTAAAAATATATTACTGTGACGGTAAGACGTATGACGCTTGCGCCCGGCTGTTGTTTGTATTTGCTACTTGCTTTGAACTGTTTCTTCCTTCTTGTGCTAATAACTTCTGTGCTACGCTTTGTGCTAAATTATAAACAGTATAGTATATGTGAACTATTGTATTCGCGAACTATTATAGTATTCGTGAACTATTGTATACGTGAATTATTGTAGCTGTGAACTATCGCATAGGTGAACTATTTAATTGTGTGAACTGTTCTGCTTACAATAAATTTTATAGAAAGTGATTGGTGAGTAATTTATTAAGAATCTCCCCACATCACTTCACTGGTGACCCCGACGTGATCTGAACACGCAACCAAACACCTTCGGAAACTACAACTTCAAGCTTTCGTCATTATCCTCAAGAACCCCTACCATTCACTATTGAGAATCGTCTTCTGCAGTCTTCAGTTCCTGCAAGCCAGTCCAACTTGTCTTCATCTCGACTCACCGCAGATTTATAAGGCAGACTTCTGGCACTTGCTCCGGCACATCGTTCTCACCGGCATCACTTGCCAGTGCGTAGTACGGCATGCATTACACATCGGCATATCATTCGCACCGGTGTCACTTGCCCTTACGCACACAGCATGCATTCCCCACCGGCATTAAAAGGACACACCGGCAATCGGACTGCACTATCGACCTCCGGTCTGAGCAGGGGGGTGATGTGGCGGCGCTGTCGTCGCGTCGCAAGCGAAACACACCGAAGCTTAAATCACGCTATCAACATTCCGAATCATAAACAGCATATATAGAACATCTCCGAACTATCACATGGAGTGTGAGCCGCTCCCCGGGCAGAACACCTTGCCCGGCGGGAGATCTCCCCTTTTCCTACTTCGGCCACAGTGGAATTCTTCACTGCTTGCTGCTTCACTGGTGACCCCGCTTGGACTTTGTACTGCGAGAACCCAAACGTAAGCAGAAACCAAAGTAATATTTTAATAACAATATTCAAAATAAGATGGCAGAGAAACAAGCTAAACCCTCCCAATCGTTATCACGAGAAACACGTAACGAAGAAGGGTCATTTACACCATCCGATATATGTCGTGTCGGTGTCCGACTGCCACCGTTTTGGGCTGAAAAGCCTGCTGTGTGGTTCGCACAAGTAGAAGGGAATTTTGCACTATCCGGTAAGACGAAACAAAATATTATTATGTAATTGCACAATTAGACCATAGATATGCGGCAGAAGTCAAAGACATTATAGTTTCACCACCTCAAAAAGATAAATACGAGAAACTTAAAACGGAACTTATCAGAAGGCTCTCAGCATCTCGAGAAAAAGAAGTGAAGCAGTTGTTAATGCATGAGGAACTTGGAGATAGGCGTCCATCACAATTTTTACGACATTTGCAACATTTAGCGGGCCCTAATGTTCCAGATGACTTTATCAGGACAATATGGACTAGTCGCCTCCCAAACAATTTGCAAACTGTAATTGCATCACAGCCTGACTCAACTTTGGAAGCACTGGCTGCCTTAGCCGATAAGGTGCACGAACTTGTTCCGGCATCTCCACACGTAGCTTCGATGGATGCAGCACCAGGATCTTTACTTGACACAATGTCAAAACAGATCGCGGAACTTACTCGTCAAGTGCAAGCATTATCCTTTCAAAATCGAAGAAAATCACGGTCACAAAAGAGATACAACAAACGAGACCGCAACTATAGTCACAGTCACAGTCATACTCGTAATCGGTCTCAGTCAAATTATAGAAGATTTCCATTTTGCTACTATCATTATAAATTCGGCAATAAGGCTAATAAATGCGTTAAGCCTTGTGATTACCAACAGGGAAACGATCAGGGCAGTCGTTAGTGGCGACAAATGATTGCCTCAGTTCATCCGGTCGCCTGTTTGTTACGGATCGCAGAACGAAGATGCAATTCTTGGTCGATACCGGAAGCGACCTTTGCGTCTTCCCGCGTACGGCACTTAAACAACGACGACCTCGAACATCGTACGAACTTTTTGCGGCAAATGGAACTCCCATACCCACCTGTGGCTATGCTCATCTCGAACTAAATCTGGGACTTCGACGAGATTTTTCATGGCGCTTTGTAGTAGCCGATGTAAACAAAGCAATCATCGGAATTGATTTCTTATCATTCTACCATATCATTATCGACTGTCGTAACCGTCGGTTAATAGATAACAGCACTTCGTTGCAAACACCTGCTGAGCCTGCTACAGCTAATGTGATAGCTTCAGTTAAAACCATGAGAGGTCATTCAAAGTATGTTGAATTACTACGTGACTTTCCGGAGATAACCCGACCGTCAGGTGTACCGCAAGCTCCTAAGCATAGTACCGTCCACTTCATTCGTACTAAGCCAGGACCACCTGTGTCTTGCAACCCAAGAAGATTATCACCAGAAAAACTGAAAATAGCGAAGCAAGAATTCGAGGCAATGATAAAGAGTGGAATAGCATGTCCATCTGAGAGCCCGTGGTCTTCTCCGCTCCATCTTGTACCAAAGAAAGATAACGGATGGCGGCCATGTGGCGATTACAGAATGTTGAACGCACAGACAATTCCAGACAAATATCCCATCAGGTACTTACAAGACTTTACCCATTACATATCGGGTTGTACAATTTTTTCTACGCTAGATTTGGTGAAAGCGTACAACCAGATACCAGTCAACCCAGATGATATTCCGAAGACAGCCATCACCACACCATTTGGTATGTTCGAATTACCATATATGAATTATGGCTTAAAAATGCGAGCCAAACCTTTCAAAGGTTTGTAGACGAAATAACACGAGGACTTGATTTTTGCTTCGCGTACCTGGATGATTTTCTAATATTTTCCCAGGACGAAGACAGCCATCTTGACCACCTTCGCCAAATCTTTGAAAAACTTCAGGAATTCGGTATGGTTATCAACACGAGCAAATGTGAATTCGGTAAGAAAGAGATCACCTTTCTAGGGTATCACGTCTCAGCCAACGGTATTAAGCCTTTGGACAGTAAGGTTCAAGCCATCAAAGACTTCCCCACTCCGAAAAACGTACGAGAACTTCGGCGTTTTCTAGGGATTTTAAACTTTTATTGCCGATTTATCAAAGAAGCTGCCGAAATTCAAGCACCATTAAACTCTTTGCTGACGGGGTCCGTAAAAGGATCACGTTCCGTGGATATATCTGGAGAAGCCCTACATGCTTTTGAGCAGTGCAAAACTAGCCTCTGTCAAGCAGCATTCTTGGCACATCCAGATCTGAACGCAAGATTAGGTTTGGTAACCGACGCCTCAGATAAGGCAATCGGTGCCGCCTTGCAGCAAGTAAAGAATGGATCATGGCAGCCACTTGCATTCTTCTCTAAGAAACTGAAACCAGCGCAACAGAAATACTCGCCATACGACAGGGAGCTTCTTGCTATATACGAGTCAGTGAAATACTTCAGACACATGCTTGAAGCAAGACATTTTACTGTTTTCACTGACCACAAACCAATCTGTTATGCATTTCACATCAGAAAGGATAAGTGCTCACCCCGCCAGTATCGTCATCTCGGTTTCATATCTCAATTCACCACCGGCATCCAACACATCTCTGGAAAAGATAACATAGTAGCTGATACGCTTTCAAGAGTTGAAGAATTAGCTCAGCCTGTTAGTCTGGTTACCTTAGCCAAAATGCAGGACGTGGATACGGAATTGAAAGAAATTCTGAAAGGTGGGACATCACCTCGATTAGTTAAGGTACCAATACCTGGCACGAAGGCAGACGTATATTGTGATGATGGAACTGGAAATCAAAGGCCTTACGTACCTCAAAACTTAAGGAAGCAAGTCTTTGAGAGCTTACATTCGCTGAGCCATCCTGGGGTCAAAGCCACAACAAAGATGATAACAGAACGCTACGTTTGGCCAGGAGTAAAGAGAGACTGTCGTGAATGGTCAAGAACGTGTCACCCCTGCCAGCGTGCAAAGATAACACGTCATGTCTCCCCACCTTTAGGTACATACAAATTACCACCTGCCAGATTCCAATACGTCCATATAGACATCATTGGACCTTTACCTGTATCAGATGGATATCGCTATTGTCTTACAGCAGTTGATAGATTTACCAGATGGCCTGAGGTAATACCCTTATCAGATATCACTGCTGAAACTGTTGCAAAAGCAGTTCTTAATGGCTGGATCTCGCGTTTTGGGTGTCCTGCCGAAATCATCACAGACCGAGGAAGACAATTCGAATGTTCCTTATTTAAACATCTATCCAATCTAATCGGATTTCAGCATAAGCGAACTACATCTTACCACCCAGCTTGCAACGATATGGTAGAAAGGATGCACAGACAGCTTAAAACCGCTATTGTATGCCACAATAATCAACAATGGACAGAATCATTGCCAATAGTACTATTAGGTATGAGAAATACATTAAAAGAAGACCTTCAAGCATCACCCGCTGAGTTACTTTATGGTGAATCACTTAGGTTACCAGGAGAATTTCTGCATTCTAACAACAGCGAAAGAAG